GGACCACCCTTTTCAAGGTGTTACAACATTTTTGGGACACCCTGTATTTTTGCCAATAAAAGCGACTAACTATTAGCAACAGATTATTTTTATCCTTGATATCGAGCCACGATATTAATTAGCGCAATACGAAGTACTAATTGTTTGATCGGTTGAGATTACTACGCCTAGCTCCCCGTAGGCGCATGCGCGAGCCACCCGTGCGATCCGGACGTTCGTCGGTCGATTTCTGGCGTCGTTAATTTTTGCTCGACCGTCATATTGAAACCATTCTCCCCCTGGGTTTGTACAGTTACTTTCAACGTAAATTAGTGCAATCTTGGCAAACAGTAGTGCATGTACAGTACAACAGTAGTTCGATACAAGTGAAAAGAGAAGACATTCTTAGAAAAAGGGCAACGACACAGAGAACTGATCGTCGAACTTTGCGAATGACAACGGTAGACGTAACGAAACATCTGGCTAAGGACGAATGCCGACAAGCATCAAAGGTCAGCTTGTTCTCGTAGAGAAGAAGGAACGAATCTACAGCATTGGTGAATGCTATATAATACTGTCAGTTCTTGTTTCTTTATTTCGATCTCTTTTAAACACGTAACAAGTCACGACTGTAGTTTGTCGTAGTTGACGACTGTCTCTCATACAGTCAGTCTACTTTCCTACTCGACGTGAAATGGGTGTATCTACGCTTTTTAATCGCCGGTAACGTACTCGTTTATTCGAACGCTATTCGCGGAACGTAAATACCAAGAACTCTCAAGGAACAGTGACACTTGACCCCGAATCCTATACCCGTTGCAGGCTATTGCCAATGAAAAGTCCGCGGATAGCTAGCACGGAAAGTGCATCGATAAGTGCATGGTCAATGCATATAGCTATATCGCGAAGTTACAACGTGCATGTAATTCATATTTAATACTTGCACTTAAGAAACACGCGAAGCTGTAGGAAAACACAGAAACAGTGGAAAGCCACATCTCCTTTCTAACCTCACTTTAAGGACTAACACGACTCTAGAATAGAATTTCTTTTTGCAGGGTATATTTAAAACATATTGAAGTATAAACAGATATTATTGTATTATAATTTTAGGACAAAATGGCGGCAACAAAACGAGCCCACAAGATTGACTTTTTTTTAAAACGTCTTCACGGGAGGACGGTTTCCTCATTGTGTATAAAATCTGGAACAAATAACCAAAAAATTATATTATCTATATACTATCGGCTGTAGAAGTACGTTTTTTTTTTAAATCAAATATTGTAGAAATAGCCCACCGACCCATTTTTGACCAAAAAGTAAATAGTAAATTGTTAATAAAAACAAAAGTTTACATTAAATAAAAAAAAACCTCTGTGTATTTCTATAACCAACAGTATATATATTATAAAATTTGTTGGTTTTTTGTTCCAAATGTTATACACAACGAGCTAACCGTACTCCCGTGAAGACGTTTTAAAAAAAGTCAATTTTTGAGACTCGCTTCGTCGCCCCCATTTTGTACTAAAATTATAATACAACAAGTTTTGTTTATACTTAAATATGTGTTAAATAAACCCTGCCAAAAGAAATCCTATTTCTTTTGTTATGCTCTCAAAATTAATTATCAAAGTTAGACCTCTTTTTTCAACCTCTAGAGTGGTGTAACCTCTTAAACGAAATATTTAATTTAATTTAACTTACCATGCACCAAATTTCTTTGATATTTCAAGTCGATGGTGCTGCAAACTGTCATCAATATTGTTATTGGTTATCAGAGACATTATATAATTAAGACGTATACATCATTTTTTGAAAAAAGTAAAAGTATTTGGTAAAATATTGGTATATTAGCGCGTGACCTGAAAAGTACACGAGTCCATAGAGGGTTAATAAAATTTAGATGAATGTACACTTGGAATATTCCTTTTTTTTTTTTTTTTTTTTTTTATAGTACTCTGGTTTTGTAAGTCTACAGAAGGAATATCCGGTACTTGGCGTAATTCGAAAGAAATCGAGCATCCAGAAATAGGTACCTCGCGTTTCAGAATATAGAGAGAAGAATAATCCAACGTTTCGTATGCCTTGGGGAGTAGAAATGTAAAAAATTATGGGCGTCCTATATATCATGCACCTCCAATAGGAGGAAACCCTAAAAAGTAGGAAACTCATATTTCACGTGCACTGTGAAACAAGAACCGCAGATCAGCGCGCCGCGTTTTCTGTGTTTGAAAGATTAGGAATCCTTTAAAAAAGATGATCTCGAATTCAATGCGAGCTCTCTCAACCACAACTTCGGATAGATAAATTCGCGTAAAATTCGAAGCGTGTAATTTTATGAAAAGAAAAAATTCATTTTAGATATTTTTTTAACCCTTTGCACTCGAGAGGTGGCTCTCAGTCACCATTAGGTTTCACGCAGCAAATCTATCAGCAATAATGTTTCTTTAGGTTTAATTTCTTTGGAACTTGAAATGTCAATAAAATGATTGTCAGCGTGGTAAAGGTGACCTGATTCTCAAATCTCGATAGCTTAGCATTCGTGGCAATAGAATGCTAAGAAAGCATTTTGAATTCCTGGTAGATACAAAAAAAGGCCTCGAGTGCAAAGGGTTAAAAAATCCAAACTATGTAGTTCGTCGAGAAACAACTGCATTCGACACACACGAATGAAAGTAAATTTAGAAAATCATTCTACTCGGTATATACAACGTTCACAACAATTTCCACCTTTAAAGTTTCGTGTACTTCTAACTGAGTGAGTTTCGAGCAGAATCGCGCCGCGTTTCGCACACATCGTCGAACCGAACTCCAGAAAACAACTTAACGCCGAGTCTGAAGTACGAGGATAAAATGTGTACCATTATTTACACAACCGGAATACCGTCGAGTACGCGACGGTACAACAACGTCGAGAACATTATTTGTAGCGGAAGACATTCGTCAAAGGCGCACATTCGCAATTGCTCAACCGGCCATACATAGGAATTAAAAGTAATCTTTATGAGATCCGCTTCCTACCTAGCGCACGATCCTATCACTTTCGCTTTGAAACTTTCGCGAACCGGCATGAATATTCCACATTTCATACGTGCCTAAGAAAAGAACGCTCCACATCCCGTGCCCCAGAAAGAAGGGAAATCAAAAACCATAATTGCTACCACCTTTACGAAAACTGCGAGTTAGGGTGGATGGATCTCTGCCGCGAAATTAACGCGTTGGATTATTTGAAAAAGTTGTAATTCAATATCGAGCGAATAGTTTTCGACGTGTTGTGCGATTTATTAAACATTTTTTCGTCTGTTTAATCGATTCTATTCATATACTAGCGCCCCGCGGTTTCACCCGCGCGGAACACTATTCTTATTCTATACAATGTGACTCGTCTCGTCGAGCTACGCGTCAGTCACGCCGACAAAGAAAAACAAAAAAATATCTACGCCGATCAGTAGCCTGTTTGGGCATCGTACGCCGATAAACTAACCAAGCGTCGCTTTTCATCCGACTTGATTTACAAATGTTGAGATTTCAAATTGAAAACGTATTTTTATCAAAATAAAACAAAGCCTATGTCACTCAGGGATAGTGTAGCTTTCTATTACTGAACAAATTTTTAAAATCCGTTCTGTAGTTCCAGAGATTAGCCGGATTAAATAGACAACAGATAAAAATTTTGCAAAAGCGTGTTTGGGTTTCAGCAAGCTGCGAAAAGTCATACAAGAGTTTTAAAAAAGCATTATTTCGAAATTACATACAGACACTTGAATTTTATTCATATAGATGTAGTTAACGCTACGAAGGTCGAACTTAGCAGACGATTTCAGCCCTTAACGTCGAGTTCCTCGTTGTGAAAGGCAACCCCCGAAACTTTTATTCTCAGAGATACCCCAAACGTTTTATCATAATCCATATTTCACTTATGCCCAGCAAAAAGCCCAAGATGATGTTGGACATCCCCAGAAAGAAGGAAAATTATTCTGACCTCGCATTCGGCTTACCTAGACCCGTATAAAATCAGAATCCAAGTAGATACTTTAAAACACACCGAGATCCGACTATCAAAGACGCATATTTATCGTTAAAAATTCATGTATAACAAACATGCGAAGAACTATTTATCGTCGGCAGCTATTCACGACTAAAAATATCCGTAAGAATCATTTTGAGATCATTCTCGCGAACAACCCTCTTCACAGGGTCAACCACTAAACGTATTCACCCTCCAAAGCTAAGAAACGTTTCCCTTAGATTGTTCTCCGCGCCGACGACGGGTCTCGCCGCGCATTCAACGCGTATTCACTCCCCAAAAGCCGCGGTGTTAAATTGAAGGATCTACCCCCTAAATCGGGTGTCCATTTCCTTGCAAGACACGGGATTCCCCACCCGCACTGATCCATGTAGTTTCAAAAATCTCCCACGGGACTCTAATATTTTCGGATCATCGATCCCTTCGGTAGAGCTACGATATCGTTCACTTTTTGGGGGAGGGGTGCAAACCAATACCGAATCCAAGTATATTTTCATTCATCGTTTTTGACGCGCTTGAAACGTTGCTACAAAGCTGCCCCAAAAGACGATTGCACGAGGAAAATTGAAGGAAAATTGAAGCTTATCGACAGCAAAATTTTGGCTACGTCAACCCCTAATACTTAGTTCCGATTCATCTTCCGATTCATTCAGTTCTCCGATTCAAGTCTCGATTAAAAAAATTCCCTCGAACCAACTCGAAGGCAATCCATGGTATCCCCAAACGCATTCGCCACCAGAGGTACCAACTAAACCCCCCGAACTGACCTTCGCGGCGTCGTGCGTGGGCCAAGAACTCGGTGCGCGTTCACCCCCGGGAACCAGGTTGGCAAACTCGAGGAACCACCCCCGAAATCGAGTGTCCGTTTCCTCGCAAGGCACAGGGGTCCGGCAGCCGCACAGGGTCATCGAGGTATCGAGAACTCACCGGGAAACTCGGGCACCGACCGATCGTCGACCCAGCCACCGTGAGGTTTTACCGTTCACCCCCCGAGGGTCCGCGATAATGGCGAGCGACGCGCTTCGGGGCACATTTTCATTCATCGTTTCGTGTACACCGTGTAGAAAACGCGATCGCGGATGCAGCCGCGAGGCCAGCCGCTCGTTTTAGCGGTTCGGGGCGCACTGTCCCCGTCCGGAAGACACCGTTCCGTTTCGGCGAGCCGCCGCGCCGCGGCGCCACCGTTGTCGAAAACAACCCCATCCGTGGGGCAGGTGCGTGGCACCAAGTCGCCCGCCTAGTGGGGATCCAGGGGAACTCTGGAGAGGGGCGGCGGGGTTGTTCCCCTCCGCGCTTATCGCGTCCCGCTGGTGCAAGTGCAAGGTTAATTGGTAGAACCGAAGGGGATGATTTTTCTTGGCACGCTCGTGTCGTCTCGCTCGCGGTGAACGTTGCTGGAAGAATGGTTCGTGACGGGACGGGACTCCCGGGGAAAATTACTTCCTAAGGGACTCTCTCAGGAATTAGCCGGGATTTTCTGTTTCTTAAAGGACAGAGGCTTCGAATGGATATTCCAGGGGGGGAGAGGACTGTTAGGTGCACGAGAGTCGTTTGGAGTTTGATGGACGACGAAGCGTTCGGTTGGAGGGTATATTGAGGTTTGGATTCGCCGAGGATGCTCGGGTAGGGTTGGAGGTCGGAATCTGTTGTTTACAGCGAGAGGGAGGGGAGGGGAGGACTCCTCTTGGTGGATTATTCCATTGTGTAATCTGGAATTAACCTAGGGTGATGGTGGTTATATTTAGGTGCGCTTGTGCTGGGAGATTGGTGGTTACTTTATTTTGATAAATATGAAATGTAGTTGCACCTGCGTTTTGCTCTATCAATGTCCATTTTGCTGAACATTATCTGTAGATAAAGACTGGTAAAGAGTGGATAAATGCTAGAAAATCGGGACACAAACGTTGCATTTATTTTTTAGGTTTTTAGTCTGTGTATACATTTGGCTCGAGTCGAACGTTGAACGTAGAAAAAGGCAGAGAGTGAAAGAGAAAGAGGTATGAAAGATTGCAACGTTTGTATGAGGAATATTTTATTTGTAGTCGGAGTTTATGAAACTTGGTCTTAATGCTCTTTGATGTAATTAATCAAATACCTATTTCGACGTTTTAAAACATTCAACCCCTGAAGGGGTGAAAAGGGGTTGCAACTTTTGTACGAGGAATAGTTTATTTGTAATCGGATTAGCTTCATAGTTAGTCTCGATATGCTCCTTGATACAATAATTTTCCTTCAACTTGCCTTATTTCCATAAATGTAATATAAAATAAGAATAGATAATCAATTCCCTGTAACACGTTGATCGCCACTTTTCGCTGAAGAACAATCGAAATAAATTTGAGTGAAATTCTTAAACTTCAATGAAGTTATGAAAATAAATGTTGCATAAATGTTTGAATATGTTGTTTCCAATAATCCAGAAACAAAACTTCACTGTAGAAATGTTCAATAGTATTATTCCGGCAATGAACGTGTTAAATCCTAAAATAATCCGCTCGCAAAACCGATTCGATTGAAGTTAATTTTCACAGAATGTTTAATCCATCCGTGTAACGAGCAGCGCCCATAAAGCGTATTAAAAGATCAATTATATTTCATTTTGCACTAATTAATCGCAAGAAAATTAGGAACATCGTGGACTAATTTGTATAAATGATCGATTAATTCCGAAGCAATAGGACGTCACCGTTGCAGGATGATGCACAACTAGTCTCGTAAAACTAACTATCAAGTATCATTTATTACAATCCATTATGGAAAGTACTTGGCACGATTTATCACGGTTTTATTCTTGTACGGTTAGTTAGGTGTTTCGTATTTCACGACTCACCCTGTACAGATTCAATCGGCCCCGTGCTCTTCATTGCAGCGACTTCAGAGACCAGCAATCCCTGGATTAAGGCGACTTTGTTCTTCCGCTTTCCGCCGCTTTTCCATGAAAATCGGGTTGTCCGACTAATCGCGGACTTGTACTACTGAAATTTCCCCGTGCACCAAGGAAGCGATGCAAAAATTGAAACACTCGTAAATTGTTAATACTTATTCCGTTATTCCGCCTGTTTTACCTCGCGTGAACTCGATGAATTATTTATAACGAAACACCGAGAGGAAAAATAAGTTACGGCGATCGTCCCGGAATTCCAGTATCGCGAGTCTTCGGATTTATTTTTCCAGCGGCTTATCATCGCGTTAAAAAATCATCCGTTGCTTCGCACGCTTCTCACTTCTTTTTATTATATGAAAGTTTCATCGCAGGTCCGAAAGTACGTCGCCAAGTAAAAATTGTTTACACCGTGGCTGATTATTTTATCAGCGCCCACGGGAGCGTTATCCTCGACTCGATAAAATTCTCACCGTGTTTCCCGTTTCACCTCGATCCCCAGAATATTCGCAACTTCTCCATCCAACTCGCGGTAATAACGGATGAAATCGTGCTCGCGTAACTGCGTGGCTCGCGACTCGTATAAATCTTGCGCGTTGTTTGCGATTCGATGTACGCGTTGCGTACGATCGCAACGTCTTATGAGAAAAGTTGCCGCGGTAAATCATTCGAGCACGTTCGAACGATCGCGAAGATTCGATAATGAATTGCTTGCTGGGAAAAGAAGGATTCAGGAATGAAGAAATGTCAGTTTAAAATTATTGAGGATCTTAATTATTGGATAAATTAATGACTGAATCGCTTACAGAATAAAAGAATTGTTTATTATTAAAAATGAACCTTAAGGTACGGGGAGAGGAAAACTCAAACGCAGGGAAAACTATTCTATTCTGGGCCTACGTCAAGCAGAGAAACTCGCAGTGAAAATCAAAAGAGATACAAAATACATTTTAACTTCGACAGAAATGCGTATTTTAGACGGTAGGGAGGCATAGGTCGTCTGTGCCCTCTTTACACGTTTATAGGTTTATAGTAAAGTCTGGATAAGTGTATGGATAAATGCAAGATGACTATCCTCAACACTAGGGAGCCTTCCCTTTGACTCTCGTCGAGCGAGCAGTGTAATATCCGCTTCTGCCTCGAGCCAAATCTAAACAAACACAGAATAGAATCCTCGACTGGATAACTACAACGTTTTGGGTCCCGATATTCTCGCACTCATCGAGTCTTTACCCGTACACGTTTTCAATATTCGTACTCCACGAGCCACGAGGAAATTCATGTGACCCCAATGACACCCAGAACATCCCCAAAGTCGTTCCCACACATCCTCACACATCGTGCCCTTGGTACTCGCTGGAGGGCCTCGACAGCAAACCGGAAATAGACGGGACGCCATCGGAAAACCGCAACTCCGGAATACGAGGGAAGTTGGTTACGGTGTCTGCGCGAAAATAGAGCAAGCTGCTGGCATTGCACCCTCCTGCCGATTAGCCTCGCCATTGGCAAAGCCAGTACTGTTTGGGGCAGAATGAGGGTCACAAATGCATAATCGATGCACCCTCCGCCGCGACCCACCCTACGCTGCTGTTGACCTTGTCAGTTTGACTCGAAGCAGGCTCCGGCGTGGAGCAATATGTGGAACGGGATCAGCGTGTCCTCAAGTTCAGATATTGCGCTCTGAAGTATACTACGTCCAGGAAGTAGCTTCGATCCGAGTTGATTCGAACATTTTTGCGAGTAGATGGTTTCCAGCGAAGTAACTCGGAAGAAGCATGCTCGGGTCTGTTCACTTTAGCATCGTGTTGGTCGAGGGACGAGAAACTTAGATAGGAAACAGGTAGCGGAAGTTTGAAGCATTGTTACGTCACACTCCAGATGTCCTGTAATGAAATTATAGTGTCTTGAAGATAAACATAGGAGGTGTCCCTCTGTTAACTCAGAACTCTGCACAAACTAGCTTTGAAGTTCGGACACTGTGTTGTCGAACATCCACTCTGTAATGCTATTTTAGGAAGCAAATCTGAATTGTCTACCGGCGAGATGTTTGGGTATCGAGGAGCCTTTCGACTGGATCTAACACTTTTCTAAAAGACTACACGTTTTAGGAATTGGAACTTTTAGGACGACTTACTACCATGGTTTGTTCCGAAATAAATCAGTGTGCCTTCGGCATAAGTTTGCGTGAAATTCTGTTCTTAAAATATGGAAATGTCGACATCGAAATAGTTACGGCTGAGTGGAGAGCTAAGTTTCATAAACTTCAAGGAACTTCGAAAGTCCAATGTGCTTGGTAACCGAGTTTGCAACATAATAATTTAATAAGTTAACAACACAATAATTTGTACGTTCAGAGGTGAACAACATGAGGTATAGTCCAAGTTCGATACCAAGGTCTGACGCAAGGTCCAAAGTAGTTTCAAAGAACTTTGAGTAGCCGTACAGCAGTATGTTCTAAACTAAATTAGATGTAATAGCGACACGTGTGTTTAATATATAAAATAATAATGTTAATTATAGAAATTATTAGCAGCGGTCGTAGAATTTGTTTCGCTTCCCAGTAGAGTATTCCTCAGCAGCTTTTTAGTACATTCGTGTTATCAGTAGTAGTGTAGTAGTAGTGCAAAGTCTCTTCTCAATGCAACTCTGTCGATAACTGTATTTACCTGTTGTTATCTTTAGCATAGAGTAGGTACGGAAATGTGCCATTCATTGGTAAAACAAAGTCTCAAACTTGAGAAAGTCTTTTCTTACTACAACTCTATTGATAACTGTATTTGCCTGTTGTTATCTTTAGCATAGAGTAGGTACGGAAATGTGGCATTCGTTGGTAAAAAAAAGTCTGGTAACTCGGAAACTACCCTTATCATTTCGGTGTCGAATCCTACATGATCGATTCAGCAGTGAAAGTTGTCGTTTATTGATAAACGACCGCTGAAATATAGAGTTGTTTCCTTATCAGTTATCGATATGAAAGGTACCATTTCTTATCGTACTAGAAGAGACCCTCCCACAGAATTTATCAGCT